TTTCTACCGATAAAATGATGCGTTTGAACGCGTTTTAAAACCTGCGTTTAACTTCTAGCGAAAACATGTGAACATAAAAATAAACGCGTTGGCACGCAAACTTTTTAAAAAAATTTTTTCGTGGGTAGCTTTATCTGATAATATCATATAAATCGTTGAAGTATTTTCGGTCTTTCGGTCATCCAGATGGCTGGAAAACATTATTTTTGCCCACTTTGTATTTCTTCAAATGTTTTCCAAAATTATTCTTCTCTATTTACACATATCCGCAATGAACATCGTGAAGAACCATCATTTAGCATCCGTTGTGAATTAACTGTACATTGTGGATCTCGTTATTCATCTTTTGAAAGTTATCGATGCCACATTTACCGTTGTCATCGCACTCTTATCGATTCAATGGACAATGATGATATTGTCTCATCAAATATTGATGATATTTTGGATGATTTTGAAAATACATTTTCTCATCCCACGTTTAATAATGACTCAGATTTTATTGCTGATCCTGAATCATGTATTTATCCCGATGAAGAACTCGATGATACAGATCGCATATTTCTTGGACTCGATCCCGTTTCCTTTTCTGTTACTGATCAACAACTTGGTTTCAACAATTTTGCACAATTTTATACCCGTTTCCTCCTCCAACTTCGTGAATATCATCTTCTTCCTCAGAAAGTTGTGCAATCTATTTCATCTAACATTTGTATTTTACTTGATATGATTGTCAAATTGATTAAAACAAAAGCATCATCATCCCTCATGTCTGTTAATGATTTTGAAACCGCTTTCGCACACGTCAACTGGATCATTAATTCAATTAGTAAAAGCGAATATCAATTCTTAAAACAGTGTAAGAAGCATTTCGACTATCAACCACCAACTGAAATTGTACTAAATACAAATCAAGAACGTGCTTATTATATTCCATTGAAACAAAGCCTGTCTTATATGCTTCAGAATGGAGAATTATTGCAGGCTATAATCGATAATATAAATTCTTTATCAAGTCGTGCAGCTAATGACAATGACCTCATTTTATCAAATCGACAAAGTCGTTCAGTTAAATCAAATATCTCTCAAACAGACTCAAATGCTTTATTACTGAAATTATACACAGATGGTATTGGTATTACTAATCCAATTGGTCCAAAAAAAGATTCTCACAAATTTACTTGTTTCTATTATCTGTTGGACGATCTACCTGAAATCGTTCGATCACAAGTTAACTCAATTGGTCTTCATTGTATCTCGTATACAAAACATTTGGACGACGCGAATAGTCGAACGACCTTATTGAACGTGCTTGTGGGAGATCTTAATAAACTTCAAACTGAAGGTATATCAATTCCCTGCCTTTCCAGTAGAATATATTTTGTTTTCACAACCATGTGTGCTGACAACTTAGCCTCTAATGAAGTTGGAGGTTTTCAGTAGTGTTTTAGCACAGGAAGTTTTTGTCGTCATTGTTTTATTACTTATGAGCAAAGACACATACTATTGACTGATATATCATTTGTACCTCGAACTCGTTTAAAGCATGACATGATTGTCAATCAAGTTATAGCCAACAATGGTCGTCAAATTATTCAAGGTGTGAAAAATTCCGGGTGGTTTAAAGATCTTATTGGTTTTCATCCAACTGAATCATTACCACCCGATATAATGCATGATTTCGCAGAAGGTATTATAGTTTAAAAACCTAAACAGAACGAAATCTTGATGAGAAAGATAGACAATAGACATCCTTGGAAAAAATTAAATTAAATGGAGTATAAAGCACCGTAATTTATACAAAGCTGATATTGAAAACACATCCAAGTCGAGCGCTTTCCACTAGTTTTTTTTGAAACACGACTTAAATAGCAAACGTGGAAGAGAATTTTTTTTTCATAGAAAAACATTTTTTTTTGTCATTGATCACGTTTCGTTTATGGATTTTATGATTCATCGAATAAACCTCCACCAGTAAAGAAACAACATCTAACTCATTCGAGTATTGCTGGCTCTGCAAGTCAAAAACTATGCTTTTTTCGACTATTTCCAATAATATTTTACGATATTATTGATCAACTTACCTTACTCCCGTTATATACTATTTTACGTGAAATTATCAATTACATCTACGCGAATCCAATTAGAAAATCATGGCTACCATATCTAGATGGATTATGTAAACAATTTCATTTTATGATGGTCGAATATTTACCTGATCGCGTAACACCAAAAGTCCATTTCATTACTGAATATCCTCGTTCGATTGAAACACATGGGCTTCCTATATTGAACTCGTGTATACGTTTTGAAGCTAAACATTTATACTTCAAGTAGATTGCTATCCGTTCTTTCAACTTCAAAAATCCTCTGCTTACACTCACGAAACGTCATCAATTACGTCAATGTATATTAAACAAATCAGATTCATCATCCTCTTTATCGTCTATATCATTTCGATCGTCTAAATCAATTGAATGGCATAAACTTTCTGTTCCTGTTCGACGTTTATTGATGGACCACGTAGATCAAACTGATTCAATATGTGAATGTACTTCTATTTATTACCATCATATTAATATTAGACCGAAATCAGTAGTTGTTCATCATCTAGCACATGCTGAAGAGATTCCCGTTTTCTGTCAGGTCCATCATTTGTTAAACATCAAGGAAAAATGGATTATCATTGGCGAAGAATTAAACACAGTTTCATTTGATGATAAATTATGGTCATATGAAGTTGAATTTACGGGAAAGTTGCTCGTAATTGATATAGAACAATGTTTTGATATTTTACCGCACTGTCTCGATACTTATGTAGTTGAACAAGCACATTATATAAATATATTAACTCGTCTAACAAAATAATAAATAGAATGTATCGTTTACTGATATTCGTACGGAAGAAAAAGTACGCTTTAGTTCGATAAGGCTGTTGTCTAGTATACAGTGACGTTTTTTGTCATTTAATTAAAAAAATTATTTTTGTTTTTAGAGGAAGACATTGATGGCGAAACAGTGGCTTTACTTCAGCAAAATGATATTGTACAAATATTTCCTCGAATAAAAGATCGTGTAAAATTTATTGATTTACGTGCAAAATTAATCTTAAACTTAATTGAACAAAATGAAAATAAGGGTGAAACAACAACTAATTTATTTAATTTAACATCATCATCATCATCCCGTCCTGTAGATTCATTACAAGAGAATGATATACCAAGAGCATCTGTTCTAAATAAAAATAGAGAACCAAATGATTCAATTGATCAAATAATAAATCTTGATCTTTCATCAAGTATTAGTTGTCCTGATGATAATGATGATATCGATAATAAAGCGAAATTACCTGCAGATTATGAAGTTCCAGATTTAACTATGAGAATGCAACAATATGTTGATGATACCAATATTTCAAAATTTAATCCACATACAGCAATGCGTAGTGAATTATTATCGCTTCTCTTTGATGATGTAACAAAATCACATCAACTTCTGTAAGTCATTATTCCTATTAAAAAGTTTCATGTCTTTATCTGTGTCAATTTAGTTATCCGACAAATGAAGAGTATATGACGATGGCTAAATGTTTGGTAAAGAAACTCCGTGTTCCTTCTACATTAGTTCATCGCGCAATCGTAAGAAAAAAAAATGGCAAATTGTTTGAATATTTATTGTTTCTTTTATAGAAAGATTGGCATGAATCAATTAAGCAGAAATTCAAACGTGAACGTAAACCATTACAAATGAATAATAATTTTGTGAAAGAGAGACAAGATAAATATGGTAATGGTAAAACAAATGGTCGGCCGAAAATAAAAGTATGCTTTTACAAGCTGAACGTCGACATGATGATATAGTAAGTAATGAAACGATTTAAATAGTATATTATGTAATTTTGTTTTTATAGCCAATGATAAATTTAGCGGATCAAGAAAATAAAAATCTTTTATCCGTAGGTGATCAAATGAAGATGGAGTTACTTAAAGATGATCCTGATCATGATATGCTTCATAATCTTTGGCGGCAATCATTTAATATTCGTCGTTTATGTATTCGTGAGCTCACAATTTATGAAATTCTAGAGCGCTTTCCTGGTTATCGTCTTCCAGAAATGGTAAGAGCTATCAAAGATAATTTGCTAAGAATGTTATTTCGAAACAAACAAATGTATCGACAATAAATTCCTTAGCAGACAATCGATGTATATTTACTTTGGTTTTGTTCAAGACCCTGAGTAATCTTTTCTTCGACTCCCTTTCATTAATACGATAAGCACCGCCTCTTTGTTGCTTGAAAAATAATTTGACGTGAACTTTGCAACAATAAAAATATTTTATCGGAAGCTCACGCTAAAACGGCTTGTTTTCATAACTAAGAGCTTTTTGTCGTGAATATCTCTTGGTTTAAACTGAGTTATACCGCCAAGCAATGTCGTAATGTTTGTTGACTAAAGGCAGTTTTTGGTCATAATGTTCCTGAAAAACATCTGACCCATTTTCAAAAGTTTTTCTATTCGTTGGCACTATCATTCAAATGAATCGTTATACTTTTAACACAAAAACTAGGTTTCTTACGCGAATTATTTTTCAAAAACTCTACTATCATATATTGTCTTAAGTTGACGTTTCAAACCAATTTTACTCACACTTCGTCTCGTTTATCTGCATCTTAGATTGATTTGTATTAATTCCCTCTTTTGGTTTCAGATCTTGGCTGAAGTACAAGAATCTACTGGTCTGAATATCGACGAAAACGTGAATGAATTATTGCCCAAGTTCTTCGAGCATTTACCTGATAATAACTGTTTTCTGTCAGGTAAGAACTTGAGAAAAAAAAATATAAAAAAGAGATTGATGAGAATGCTTGAATGAACATTGATTCAAGGTTTTTGTAAAAATGGTGTTAGTACGGTTCGTATTTCTGGTAGAATAGTTCCTGTGTCTTTGAGGGCTTCTGTTTATTTTCCATGATA